CCCCAGCTCTGTATCTCCATATGCCAGGACCCCCCCCAGGGTGCCTCCCAGCCCTGTCCCCCCATATGCCAGGACCCCCCCGGGTGCCCACCCAGCCTGTCACCCCACACACCAGGACCCCCCTGGGTGCCCACCGAGCCCTGTCTTCCCACACACCAGGACCCCCTGAGGGTGTCCCCCAGTCCTGTTCCCCCACACACCAGGCCTGGCTGGGGAGGAGGCGGTGGGGGGCCATGGGCCAGGGTGTCCTCTGTCCTCCATCTTCTTGCTTTTGTCGAGACAGGGGACCCAAGTGGTTAACCAGAAAGAAAGGTGTTTCACTCCTCACGTCAGGAAATAAATGCTGAAAGAATTCAGCTCTCCCATTTTAGTGGGGGAGGGGAGCAAAAAGCACCCGTGTTCATGCCTGCTCTGAGGCCAGTCTGCCAGCACCTCCCAGCGGGCAGTGTCTGTGCGGCTGAAGTGGGGTTTCTGGTGCTAACATCAGCTCTGCAAGGCACCTGTGGGCCTGCTGGGGCTCAGAGGCTAACTAGGGCCGCGTCACCCCACCCTAATTCTTCAGAGTCTATTTACATTTGGCCAGGTCCTCAAACACGAGCATTTGAATGTTCCAGGCATTCAGAGTTTGCATTCATCGGAGCCAGGTTGTAGGCGTGGCCGCAAGGGAGGGCTGCCATCCTGCCCGTGGGGTGACGGGAGGCTGACCTCTGCTCTGGCGAGAGGTGGGAAAGTGCAGGTGTACAAGATGTCACTAAGCTGCAGACACGGGTCAAGTCAGCAACACTGCGGTGTGAGCGGAGGTGACCATGCAGGCCCCTTCCACGTGGTAGACGTGTCATGGATTGTGAAAATTTGCACGACTGTGGGCTGATGTGAGAGCGAGGCTACTGTGTCAAGATCTAGGGCGTCAGGGAGAGTCTGCCCCGGCCCATGTTACTCATGAGTTCCGGGGACAGGCCAGTGGCTGCGTCTGCAAACACCCGTCTGAGGCCAAGAGTCCCAGTGTGGCTGTGAGCAGGGTGCAGCCGTGAGCTGGGATGACCTGGGCTTTGCCCGGTCTGGGAGGTCCGTGCATTTGCAGAGGCGGAGTGTGGGTGAACCGTGCGCTTGCAGGGGTGGAGTGTGGGTGAACCGCGCGCTTGCAGGGGCGGAGTGTGGGTGAACCGCGCGCTTGCAGGGGCGGAGTGTGGGTGAACCGCACGCTTGTGAAGGTGGCTTCGCCCGTGTCTGCCTCGCTTGCTGCACTGGCCACAAGGGCTTCACATGGTTGACATGGTGCAGCACGTTTTCCATCTCAGCACCTGTGTGCATTAGCAGCAGTCAGCCCCACTTGGCCTCCAGCGCTAACAGAAACAGGGAGAGCCCCCAGCCACCCCCAGGACCCTGTGCGTGGGACTGGCAACCCCAGTCTGCGCCCCAGAACACTGCTGTCTGCTACCTCCTGGGTTAGAGCCTGCAAGGCGTGATGTGGGACCTTCCCAGCTTCCACGCAGCACAGCCTCATCCTGAGACCCCACAGCCAGGACCATAACAGGCAGACGTAGAGGCTGAGGCTGAGCCCGCAGGGCCAGACAGGGCTGGGGGTCCCCACAGTTCCCCTGGGGCTCCAGGTTCATGCCCCGAGGAATCACCCTGGATGAGGCCTCACCACTCCCAGCGCCACCGGCCCCCAAGTGCAAACCAAGCCAGCCAGGTCCACCGGGGCCCCTTGGAGGGAAGATTCCAACTGCAGAGTCTTCCTGTCCCACTTCTCCCAGGGGCTATTGGTGGAGGAAGGGCCCCATCTCTCAGTGACCCCGTTCTGCTATCCCAAGGCCCATGCAGCCCTGGGCTTGCTGGCCTCTGCTTCCCCCAGTCAGCTCCCGTTTTCAGACCCTGCTGCTGGCTGGTGATGGAACAGGGTCCTGGGTCCCTTGCGGCCTCTCCCCACCTGAGCTGAAGCTCTGGCCGAGGCCCTGATAAGGCTTCTCCCTAACCAGGGACTGCAGCTTTCAGGATGAGTGGGCCAGTGGCTCAGGCTGGAGGCATGGGTCTCCACCTGCCAAATGCAGCCTGGCACCCCCCTGGGTTTCTCTGGAATAATGTGGGTGTCCCATGCCTGCCTGCACCCCACTTCACTCCCTGTCAGAATGAGGCCCTTTGTGCTCAAGTCGAGGTGACAGCCTCAGGAACAGCAAGCTTCTCACACCCTGGGTCTGGCCCACTCTGACCCTCGGTCTCTTCTCCATCCCCTACCTCTGCCCAGCTCCATCTGGCTCCTCCTGAAGAACCCCACATTCATCCTGCTCTGCCTAGCTGGGGCCACTGAGGCTACACTCATCACCGGCATGTCCACATTCAGCCCCAAGTTCCTGGAGTCCCAGTTCAGCCTGAGTGCCTCAGAGGCTGCTACCTTGTTTGGTAAGAAAACTCTGAATCCTTCGGGTTCTCTGCTTTCATGTCAGCTCTCAGAGAGGCAGAGAGTCTTTGAGGGCGTCTTCTAGAAAGATCCAAACAGGGCACGTGGTGGTGAGTGCCCCCCCTACCGGAGCCGGCCTGAAGAGCACCGGTGTGGAGACTGCCCTGGGGCTCGGCCGCTCAGTCCACAGGCGGGGGGGCGGGGGGGAGGTAGTCCCGCCCCCTTCTGTGGGCCACGCTCTGGGGTGGGCTCTACCTGCTCACCACCCAGCCTCGGCCTCCGTGACTTGGTGCAGGAAGGGTTTGGACCTGGCTGCCCTGTGAGCCGGGCGCTGGTTCCTCAGGACCTCCTGGGACAGGGCAGCTGGAGCCCTGGGGTCTGCCTGGGGGTTTCTTGGTGCCAGAGACAGGCTGGCCTTCCCAGGCTGGGCGGGTCTGCCGAAGGCGGGGACCCTCTTCAGAGCCCTTCCTCCTGCCGACCTGTCCCCTCCCACCTGTCCCCCAACGTGTCCCCTCCATGTGTTCCCCGTCC